TAGCCATTGTCTCTCTAGGAACCCAACTCATTCATGAAAGTGGGAGCTGAGATAAGGATGACCCAGAGGATACATGGACTACATCTGCCCAGAGCATAAATCCTCCTGGCTTCCCACCATCTGCAAATAAAAGCAGATTTCTCTGGGGGCCACATGGATGGGAAACCTCCCATCACCCAGGGAATGAGAAGAAGCTTGCTTCTCTTAGCTCTCCAGGAGGGGGAGGGGGAGAGCTCAGGAGTGTGGGAACCAAGAGTCCAGACTTTGGGATGGACTGAGGATGGGCTTCCCCGTCTCTAATCCAAGGTCCATCTGAATAGGTTAGTTCTACATCTCTGACTCAATTACCTCCCACAAATTACACTGTAAATGTCCATTTATCCTGGGAGGGGAAGTACTAAGTATCCACCCTGACACCAGGAAAGTTAGTCCCTTGAAAGTTTAACTTTGGTCTCTGTATCTCCATTACCTATCATGGTGCCTGGCACCTGGTACATGCTTATGGTGGATGAACTGATCAAAATATCAATTACTAAGGCTAGACAGGTGACTGGCTATCTCCAGTACCCCAGATGAAAGGGTGGTCCTACAACAGAGGACGGAGAGATAGTACCCAACCTCTCCTCACTCCCAGACTCTAGGCAGGGGAGAGGAGAGCTTTCCCTGTTCTGTGATCTTGGCAAGACCTTCTCCTCTTCTGTATAACAGAGGTCAAAGATTAGAGCCCCTCTGAAGAAACTTCCAGCTGTAAATCTTATGATTACCCTCTTTCCATTGCCCCCTCCCTAGCAAGTGCTCTTTCTTTGCTCTTGCATTTGCTGTCGAGATCCCAAAGTGACTGAGCTTCCCTTAGACCTCCCTCACAGCCCTGTGCCACTGTTAAAGGTCAGGCTCATGTATCTGCCCTAATCAACACCTCTTCTCATAGATGCCTCATCTAGAGCTAGAAGGGACCTCAAAGGTCATTGAATCCAACCCCTTGATTTAACAGAGGAGAAAACTGGAGCCCATAGAAATGAGGTGACTTACCCAAGGTCACTCGGGCAGCTAGGTGCAAAGCTGGGACTTTTGTCCACAAGTGTATGAGGTCTGGGTGCCAGGGTGACTTTTCAAAGGGTATTGCCAGGGCCAAAGGCAAGGGCTGTACAGGAGTGATACAGATAACAGATTTAGATAGGACAAAGGCTCCAGGACATGATGGATCCCACTGTTCTGTAACTTCTTCTACTTCCAACAGTTAGATCAAGCAGAATGGAAAATCATCTGTTATTTACTTACTCTGTGCCAAGCTCTGCCCCTGATCTTACCGAAGGAGCTTACATTCTAAGAGGGGTGGCACTACATGCAGGAGGGCTCAGCTTCCGGGAAGATAGGAGGACCTCATGGTCCATAGAATGGAGCAGTGGTGATGATGGTAGGGCTTTGTGGTCCCTAGGGTCCAATCTGCAAAGTGATAAGACAGACGGTGGGGTCCCAGGGTCCTTGGAGAGAAATGACAAGGCAGATAGTCCCTGAATAATGGCCACCAGGAAAAGGCCAATGGATACAAGGGTCAGGGTGGACTAGCCCTCTGGGTTATCTCAAGCACAGATGTGAACTGGGCTGTGGGGTTTGGGGTAGGTCCCCAAGTGCTGCTCCTGCAGGTGTATTAGGCTGTTGAAGCTCTTCACGCCTGGCCCTGACTCACCTTTCCAGTGTCATTGAATACTGCTTGTCTTCCTGCATGCTGGAATCCACCAAATTGGCCTCCCTTTTCCTCCACCTCCCTCCTCCTGGCCTTTGCCTGGGCTGTGTAGTATGCACTCCCTTCTCACACCTGTCTCATCAGTCCTCCACTTCCTCTGAAAACCAGCTCAGGCTCCCCCTCCTACACCTAAGGCTTCCCTGATCCCCCCAAATCCTCGTGCCCTCCCTCATTACCTTGTGTTTGATTACTTTGGGCATTTATTATCTTTCTGTTTATCCTGTACACATATGTCCTTAGTGTCTCCTCTGCTGGAATGGCAGCTCCTTATGAATAGGGAATGCTTCATTCTTTGTGTTCTTGGAGTCTTACCACAGTGCCCGCCATATAGTGGGTGCTTAATAAATGCTCATTGACTGATGAATTGATAGCTTTTTATTTATTGTCTCTTCATTTTCTTTCATATCTCTAAGACCGAGGAAAGGGCATAACTAGCTCTGTGTGTGCATGTTTTTGCAGTAAAATCCAATGTTTCAGAAGCCAACAAGCCTTTATTAAGTACTTACTATGCACATTAGAGGCAGCTAGCTGACTCAGTGGATAGAATGCTGGGCCTGGAATCAGGAAGACCTGAGTTCAAATTTGGCCTCAGACACTTACTAGCTATATGACCCTGGGCAAGTCACTTAACCTCTGTTCGCACTAATCCACTGGAAAAGAAAATGGCAAACTACTCCAGTATCTTTGCTAAGAAAACCCCTGGACAGCATTGACATGCTATGGTCCATGAGGTCATGAAGGGTCGGATATTACTGAATGACAGAACAACAACAATATGCTAAGCTCTAAGAATGTGAATAAAAGCAGAGAGTCAGCCCCTGCCCTCAAGGAGTTTGTATTCTAATAGAGAAATGCACTATATAAAATATAGGGGGTGGGAAAGGGATGGGGGAATCTTACATGGGGCATGGTACAGAAAGTCATATGAGTAAGAAGTGCAGTCTGGAGAGGAATAAAAGACATGGCTGGACTGGGCATCCTCTTTACAATGGAGGTTCTGGGAGGAACCAGCTAGTTCAAGAGGGCCAGAGGGGCAGAGGGTACTTCCAAGTGTGAGAAGTCCAAGGGAAAGTGAATGTCTACAGGGGAGAGGTTTCTAGGGCATTCATGGTAGAGAAAACCCAGATCATCAGGAATATTAGAAAAGATAACTTCCTGTAGCTCCCAAAGACAACCTCACAGACAGCAGAAACAGGGCTTCCCAAGTGCCCTGACCTTCAGGCTACTGAACAGACTGGCTACAATGAACAGGATCTGTCAAGCCTTTCATATTATTCAGCTACAAGGACAAATACATCATCTCCATTTGACACATGTGAGATACTATGTCTCTGAAAGAAATAATAGCATTAATATTTAAAACCAGTACTTGACCACTAAATACATTTATAAAACACACAGGGATGGGAAGAGCTGGTCCAGACAGAGGCAACCCTTCCTCCTTCTCTCACTCTTCTTTCTTCCCTTCCCTTCCCTTCCCTTCCCTTCCCTTCCCTTCCCTTCCCTTCCCTTCCTTCCTTCCCTTCCCTTCCTTCCCTTCCCTTCCCTTCCTTCCCTTCCTTCCCTTCCCTTCCCTTCCCTTCCCTTCCCTTCCTTCCTTCCCTTCCCTTCCTTCCCTTCCCTTCCCTTCCTTCCCTTCCCTTCCCTTCCCTTCCCTTCCCTTCCCTTCCCTTCCCTTCCCTTCCTTGCCCTTCCCGGCTGGGCAAGTCATCAGCAGCCCACAGATGATGCAGTGGAGACCCAGATGGTGTCCAAGCAGGCAGCCAACCTTAGAAATTAGTATCCTGACAGACCTTGGGAGTCCTGAAGAGTACAATAGAGCAGGGCCTCATTTCCTGATGTAGTGGAGGGAAGGGGATCCAGTCTGTAGCTTGATGAATAAGGCTTCAAGAAAAATGAATACACAGAAGAGTTTCCTCTGGAGGACGGCGATGACAAAACAGTAATGAATTAGAATGTTTCTTGGTTATGTGTTAGAAAATTAGCAACAAGCTCACATTAGTTGAAATTCAGTTCCTTGTGTATATCAATTCCCTCTGATCCTTCTGGGCCTCACAGCAGTGACAGAGACACAGAGCCACAGAGTAATCCAAACGTTGGCAGCAACAAAGATAAATTGAGGTTTGAGAGTCCACACTGAGATGAATTACTATTAAAATCTGTCTCTCTCACCCACAGTTACTGTACAGCCAGGAATCAGGAAGAAAGCATGTTGTCCCACAGGGATGAAGTTGGGCCCTGTGGGTGGGGGACCCTGCCAGCCTGCAGCTGGAAAGAACTAGGCTGTGCAGGGCTGCCCCATCCATGGCTCTGCAGGCTCTGATGTGCTCGGGAGTGGAGACATCAGACTCTGGGGATCACTTATCAAGCTTCCACAGGATGTGCTAAGGCTGGACTGAGTTAGGAATTCCTTCCTGGAGACCTGTGGCAAAGGAGACTGGAAAAGCCCAAGGGATGAGACTGAAATCTAGATTTTTCACAGGAATGAGAACAGGAGATGGCATCAGGCAGCACCCAGAGGCTTGCGTTCAAAGGTACTGAGGGGCTGCCATCACCTTAACATTGACGCCAGTGACACCCCCCCAATCACACCTCTTTCTTGGGCTTCCTATATCCTGTGCTCCGGAGTCTTCCTTCCCTTCTGCTCTTGACCTCCATAGGGGTGCTGAATTGGGATTTCACCCTCTCTCCAGACACTGGCCCAGGAAGGCCTTCATAAACCTCACAAAGGCCTCTGATGGAGTCAGGGTCTATCCAGGGCCACCCTCTCCAGGTTCTGCTCCCTAGCTTCCAGCGTGAAGAGAAGCCCCTAGGTAGGGCTGTCCGCTCCTAGACTGAGGCTTCCAAGGAGAGAGAAGGTTAATGTGAACGCCAGCCCATCCCCCAGTCCCATCCTCAGCCTCTCCTCATTGGTTTCTTGCTTGGGCTTGAGGGAGGGGTGACTCTCCATTTATGAGAGTGGGGAGGGGCATTATCTGCAGCCAGGAAAGAGGTTGATGGGATTTCTTGATTGTTTGGACCAAATATGTCACTGGGATTAGGAACTTCCCATAAGGAACCTCGGTCCTTCTACCAGAGGGTACCAAGATGAACACAGACTTTCAACCACTACCCTCCCCACTCCTGTCCCTGCCCTAGAGGGGCTGTGGTCAGAAAAAATGGTGTGGGTCTTTTACATTTCTTAATTCTTTCTAATAGCTCTGTCTTTTAAAATAGAACCTTTTGAAATTTTAGCAATAAATGGGGAAACATCTCAATGAATTCACCAGGAATCTTTATTAAAATAGCACTTTTGCTACAAAGCTGTTCAAAAAGGAAGCCTCTGTGGGAAATGCCATTGGCCCTAAAAAGTGGATGCTGGCTCTGGTCAGCTGGCCATGCCTTGTGTCATCCCCTGGACCAAGTCCCCGGGCTGGGTCCAGGCTTCTCTGCTGGCTGCACAGTCGGGCTGTGGCAGGAGGGGTGGCCCTGCCCTCCTCCAAATGGCTGCAGGCCTTGTTTTCTCCTTCTCAGGCCAGGAAAGGCTGCCATGAAGGGCAGCTGCCCATGGGCATCCTCCTAGCCCTGCCTCTGCTGGCTCTGCCAGCCTGGGCACTCAGCAGGAAGGAGCCCAGACAAGGGCACCCAGAGAACACATCAAATCAGGAAAGAAACAGACAATGTGATTGAAGGAGAATGAAATGCTGGAGGGGTGAGGGAGGGGAGAGAGAGAAGGACTTCTCCAACAGCTCCCATCAGAGCCAGGATCACACCCTTCCTGGAGCTGGAATACCGATGTCTCCTGAAGACAACATGCTTTTTGTAGATCTTCATTAGCAGAGGCCTTCCTGGCCTTATCAGGAACAAAACATGATCAAGTCAGACCAGGTCGGTTCTGCAGGGGGGTGACAACGTGGCTGAAGCCGGAAGCCATTAGGAATGACCTTGCAGTTCCAGACCCAGAAACTTCCCCCACCCACCATGGGCATCTCAAGCACACCCCAAGCTTGGGTCTGATGGCTGCGCTTTGAGCGATCATAAGGACGAGGGATTCATGGGCTCAGATGTCAGATCTGTTCTGGGTCACTTACCCTCCCTGTTCAGAGAAATACTAAGAGCGCTCCAAAAGGACCAGAACTCAGTGGGCCCATGAGGTCTCTGTGGAAGCTGTGGCCTCCTCCAGTCCCCATGCTTCTCAGTGGCCTACAGCCCAGGGCTTGGGTGCTTCCTGGGGATCCATGCCTAAGCCTCCCCCCTCCCAGCATGAATTTACACTTTCCGGTCCCATGTTCTCTTCCTCTCCCTGATCCCTCACTTGTGCAGGTGCACCTAAGCACCGCCACCCATTCTTTTCAGGGTTGCCACACATTCCACAGCCATGTCAGGAAGCCACAGCCTGCTTCCTGTGGCCTAGGGACAGTCCTCTGCTCAGCCTGGCTGAAGCCTGGCAAACTTTCTGTCACCTCCAAGCCAAGCCAGGTATCTGACAGACAGTCTCCACTAATCCTCAATACATCTCTGTGAGGTGGATGCTGGTAGTTCCCTTATAAAGTCTGATAAGCTGAGGTTTAAAAGTGAAGCTATTTCCCTAAGGTCACCAGCTAGTCAGTGACAAGACATCCCTCTGAGGCAGTGATTCTTTTCACCTCACCATGCCCAATGATGCAACCCCCCATAATGCCTCCCTAACACTCCCCACACCTGGAAGCCTTTCATGAGAGAGAAGCCAGTTTGGGGATCTAAGGTTTCATGGATTTGGAATATGAGGGAGACTGGGGGTGTTAGACTGGGGTCCAAGGAGAAAAGGAATCACCTCCCTGATAGAATCTGTGCATCTGACTATACCTTCATTTATCTTAATTAAGTGCTAATAAAGGGAGTGAGGCTAACCAGGAGATCTCTTAAAGAGGAGATCCAAGGTCATAAGTCAATGATAAGGAATGAAATCACACTGACTGCCTGATCATCTTACCCTGTCCATTCCATTGAAAGACATATACAGTCCCAGAGAGGAGAATCAAATGCCAGCCTACCCCCAGGAAAGACAGTCCTGAAGGGTAAAGTAGCTCCAGAGGAGAAGGGGCTGGACATTAGTGGAGACAGTGGATCTCAATGGAAACTCAGTGGAAATGAACCAAGTGCTTAGGAGGGAAAAGCAACGTCATTGAAGGTAACTGGAAGAGCCAATGGGAATGAGGGAATAGCAAGGCTGGTTTGATTTCCCAGATCAGTGCAATGTGAAGTCATTACCTGGAAAGTTTTAAGTAGATTGCCTGCACCAGGGGTCAGCCTGCCCCTAGGACAAGAGAAGCCTCTCAGTGGGCTGTCCTGGGCCTATGAAGGGATATGAAAACAGGAAGACCCTCTCTCCTGCCCTGCCTCACTTTCCTCTGTTTTGGTAAAAGTGAGCACAGTGTGAGCAATCAGGGAAGACTCTGGTGAAAAATAGGAGGTGTTCTAGCAAAAGGATAGCTGAGAGATGATGGGGCAGCATCCCTCCAGTCTGAGACTGAACAGGTGATGGGAAGGATCCCAGGAGGAGAGATAGTTCCCTTAATCTGAACAGGGAACAAAAGTGATTCTCTCTCATTCTCTCTCATTCTCTCTCTCTCTCTCTCTCTCTCTCTCTCTCTCTCTCTCTCTCTCTCTCTCTCTCTCTCTCTCTCTCTCCTCTCCCTGCCTCTATAAAGTCCCAATTTCCTTTCTTTCCTTCCACTGTTAATAAAGTTGGCAGCAGGAGTGGGGCCATATAACAGGGGTGAGAAGCTGAGCATATATATCAAAACTGAAGCCAGGAGCCATAGTGGTTGGGGGGGGGGGGAAGGGAGCAACTGGATGGCTGAAGTTGTCTTGGTTATTAGGCCCTGTTGCCACCAGACATCTCCAGTGACCTAGATAGAGCCTTATTTAATGTAACTCTGGACCAACGCAGATTTATACCCTCTATCTGGCTCAGGAAAGGGAAGGACAATACTGAAATTTAGCCCCCAGAGCTGCCTTCTAAAAAATCTGTAGGAGGAAATTCAAACAGGTATTTTCCAATCAGATTCTGTGTTTATATGGTCCATAGAAAAGGAAGAAGGTTTGGGAACCATACCTTCCTAGTCCTTTGAAAAGCAAATGTGAATGAACCAGGTTTTTCATCCATGTGCCCATCCCTCCATCCATCCCTTTGTCCCTATATCCACCCACCCACCACTCATTCATTCATTCATAAAATACTTATTGAGTGTCTGGTATGCTTAAGATCCTAAGCTTGGTGCTATTTGTTGTAAACATATATGTCCTCATTTTCTGGGATGGTCAAGACCTGAGATTTTATTTCCTAAAGAGAATAAAGAGTGTGGCTTTGGGAAAGGGAAACATAAGTTATGAATTCCACATGAATGTATCTCGTTGGTCTCACCAGTCAATATTTTCTCAAGGAAAGGACTATTTTATGGAAGTTTCATTTTATCCACAGTGGAGAAGGTTTGGGGGAGAGAGACAGCTTTCCTCAAATTTCCTTAACTGCACCAGAAGTCCATTTAAGCTGCAGTATGGAGATCTAGGCAAGGCTCAAGGTCATGACATCATGGGTGGGCTCCCAGTCCAAGCCCCATCATGCCATTCTTGCCTATAGGGCCCTCTTCTTCAGAAGAGGGTCAGGCACGGCTCCTATGCTTCCTGGTACTTGTACTGAGAGAGGGACCCAAGCCAGGTCACTCTAGGGAGTCCCTTCTAGCTGCAGGCCTATGTTACTTTATTAATGTCAGTGGAAGGAGAGGGAGGAAATAGAGAGGTGGTCACAGAACAATAAACAAGGTGTAAATAATATAAAAGGTACAGAGAAGGAAACTGAGGCTGAAAGTGGGGACATTCTGAGGGTCATCCAGAGAGCTTCTGACTGGAGGGGATGATGACCTGGGTCCCCCCTTTTTGGCCAGAGCCCTATCCCTGACCTCACTGATCCAGGAATGTGGTCCCAGGCCCCCCCACCATGGCATAACAATTTATAAGCCACTGAATCACTTGAGATTCTGCGACTGGCTAAAGACGTCCTAATGGACTTGGTTACACAAAGTCAAAAACTTTCCCCTCCACTTATTCTCTAGACTATTGGTATTGCACCCACCACCCAAAATATCATGACTAAAGACTGATCCAGAATGAATGTCCATGGGTGGGGGGGGGAACCTCATAGAGCTTTCTTTTCCCAGGATATTTTCTATGTCTGTCTATCTTTTTGCCTGTCTGTCTCTGTCTCTTTCTATCTCTCCACATTCAACATACACACACACACACACACACACACACACACATCTATGAAAGCAAGGAATTGTTCATGTTAATTTGCCATCACAGAGTCCAGCATAGATAGTCACCTGACTGAACAGTCAATATGGATGGCCCCAAGCCCCTCTTCTCCTGGAAAATGTACTGAGGCTTCCTGACTACCCTTCTGGGATATTGGCAAAGGACAGTTGCCCTATATCTGGGTTTGGGGCCTGCTTCTGCATGAAGCAGCAGCTAACAGTTGAGTGAAGTGGGGATACATTTTTTCAGTATGGTTTGCAGGGATTATAGGCCCCAGTGACCCTGGGATCAAAATACTCCGAATTTCAGTGATCCCAGGTGGAAAGCACATATACAGGTGAACTTACAGGAACATATGACAATATACATATATGTATGTATATGTATATACACACACATATATGTATGTATGCAAACACATATACACACATGAATGCACATAGCCAACATATACACAGAACTGCACTGCTTAAAGGGGGCAGTTATACCAAGGACCAGCACTACCCTTGAGATCTGGGAGAACCAAAGGCTGTGCATTTTCTGCAGTTGCTTGGGGTCAGAACCCCAGGGCTCTCCCCTCTATCAGTTGGGCCCCCACTTTCCATCCTCCCTTCTTCTGATGATGCAGGCCAGGTGCCCTAGACAAGATGCCCATATAGAAGAGGACCAGAAGGTTAATCTGGCTGGCTCTCATGGGTCAATTGTAAATGGTCTTGAGTAATTAACACAGAAGCAGCAAAAGGCATTTTGGCAGCAAATGCTAATAAAACTTATGATGCATCCTCAAAATGAATTGAATCTCACACTTGGGAAGCTTCCATCACTGCCAGAAGGGGCCACTTAGATGAAATATTGGTTGGGTCAAGCTCCAGCATCACTCTTCCTTCCCACTCCTCTGCATGCATCAGCTTTGTGGTCCACTCTTAATCATGGGCAGGTGCTGGCAGAAGCAACCCTGGGGAAGTGGCTAGAGAGCAGTCCTCACATCAGGAAGACCTGCCTTCAAATCCTATCTCTGATACACCTTAGCCATGTGACTCTGGGCAAGTCATTTAACCTCTTACTTTCCCAGTCTGGAAGAGTGCCACGGATTTACTCTCCAGGCATTCCCTGTGCTGATTCAATTACAGATCCAGGCTGTCCCCACCAACCAACACCAAAAACAACAAGACCAAATACTGATCCAGAACTCATGTCTATAAATAAGAGAAGACATTCAGAGTAGCCTTTCCATAGGGTGCAAGGAAAGAGCTCAAGAATTACAATTTTATAAGAGAAATAAGCACAGGGGAGATGGCAAACTCTTGAGAATGAGATTCTGAAGGCACCAAGAAGAACCCTTCCAGTGAAGAGGGAAGAGCATAGTCACCGGAAGGGGCAAATGGGCATGCACAGGGAACTTACCATCCAGGTGGATTCTGAAAAACCTTGCAGAAGTGGCGGCAAGGGCTAGTAACAAAGGATGAATACGCACAATTAGCATGGCCTTGTAAGAACAGTCTCCCAGATCCTAAAGGCCAGATGACTTGAGGCTGATGATTTTGGTGACTGTCTTATTGTGGTTTTTAAAGCTGTCTTCAGAGGAAAATATCATAAAAGAGACAAGATCCCAGCTTGGGGTCGATGGGATGACAGTAAGTGACAATGGAAAGTGGAATGATTCAAATTCTATTTTGTTTCTTTCTCCGCCATGGACGATGACATTTGAATTAACTGACATCTATGTAGTATTCTAGGGCTGGCAATACGTTTCATGTAAGAAAGGAAAGAGGCAATGTGATGGGGTATAATGAGCTGTACTTGATGTCAGAAAGACCTGGAGTCAGATCTCACTTCAGGCACTTCGTATTTTTGTGACCCTGGGCAAGTCACTTAACCTGAGTCTACTTCCTCGTCTGTAAAATGGGGATATTAAGAACAGCCTCCTCTCCAGGTGATTGTGAGGATCTAATGAGAGTGCATATACAGCATTTAGAAAATACTGAAGCTTTATGTCAAGATGGCTCCATTGTGGTTGTTATTATCACAATAGCTGAGAAGAGAAATTGCTGCCCTGGCTGAAGTCGAGTCACCTGTCCCAGAAGAACTGTTTCCCTTGGTGCTGAAAGAAGTGGCAGATGTGGCTTCTGAACCACAGAAATATTAAAATATATGAAAATATGTGACATTCAAAAGGTCCCAAGGGTGCGTGTGGTCAGAGTGGAGAAAGACAAATGTTATGGTCTTCCAAAAAAGAAAGAGTCTGTACACTATAAGCTAAGGAGTCTGTCTTCAATTCTGGGCAAAAGTCTTGAATGTATCATGAAAGGGATGGTCAGTGAGTCTATCTAAAAAAGTAAGCAATGGTTCCCCAAAGCTAGTCCGGTATCAACAAGAAAAAATCAAGCTAGTCTAGCTTCATTCCACCCCCACCCCTACCCCAGGATAACTAGACTGGTAAGTTGAGGAAATACTGCACATATTATTTACCTGGCTAGCCACTAAGTATGGGACAAAAGCTCTTATCCTTTCCCTGTGGCCCATACAGAAAGTTGGGGGCTAGACCATAATACAGTTAGTTGAATTCAGAAAGGTTGAAATGAGCTCTAATTCTCTTCAGTGCCAAAGAGTAATGTCAGTAATATCAGTAACAACCTGACATCAGCCTAGAAGGATGAAGCTGTAAGATGCCCCAGGGGAGCTGTGCTTGGTCCTGAGCTATTCAAAATGTTGATTAATGACTGGTATGAAGGCACAGATGGTATTGATTTAATTTACTGAGAGGGATAGAGCTAACACCCCAAATAGCAGAGTCAGAATTGTGACAGCTAGAGTGTGGGCTGAATCTAATAGGATGATATTTAATGTAAAGTCCTAAATTGGAATTTCAACATTCACCTCCAAAGTAGATCAGTGAGGTATAACCTGGGAATTTAGCCAGTTCAACAGCTATCATGTGCCTCTTCTGGACAAGACACTAATGTTCAACCTAAGCCAGTGGTGCCATATGGAAACAGGAGAAATTAAAGTGGCCTTAGGCTGCATTAAGGAAACACTGAGCCTCAATGAGAAGATGGTCCCAGGGTACCAGTCCTGAAGAGGACACATTTGGGTTTCATCAAAGCTGATGCATTCTAGGAAGGACCCTGATGAACTGAAGTGCATTCAGAGAAGGATAGTCATGAAGGAGAAGGGCCTGTAGATTGGGCCACTCCAGGATTGGGTGAATGGACTGGGCATGTGTAGACTGAAGAAGAAAAGGCCTGGGGGAATATGACAGCTGTTTTCAAGTACTTGAAAGGGCACCATGTTTAGGAGAGATTACATTTGCATGGTTTGGTCTCAGAGAGCAGAGAAGATGGTAGATGTTGCAAAGGTGCAAATTTAGGCTTGATTTGTAGAAAAAACTTCTATTCAATCTGTTCAAAGGGTCAAGGACATGGGCAGGCTGAGAATCTGATGGACACTGGCTGGGCAGATGGTAGAGGAGATTTTGGCTTGAGGTGCGATGGATCAGACTAGATGGTCACTGAAGCTCTTTATGTCTGGGAGATCCCAGAACCCCTGAGTTTTGGAGCTGGGAGGGACCTTGTAGGCCACCAGGTCCAATCCACACCTGTAACCCAGAGTCCTCAAGTCTGGGAGCCTGTGCTTCACTCATTAGCCTATTTTCTGCATTTCTACTAATGATTGTAATAACTATTTCTATAAGATCTGTTTTCAAGATCTGAAGGACTGTTGTATGGAAGAGGGCTTTAAGTTGCTCTATTTGGCCCCACAGGGCAGAGCACTGGAGCTGGACAATTCAAAGAGATTGACTCGATCTCAAAGTCAGGAGAAACTTTTACAATTTGAGCTGTTCCAAGGGGGAGTGGGATGCCTTGGGCAGCCAGTGATACATTCCTTCTCCTTGTTGGGTATAGTCTGGTTTAAAGGCTACTGAGGCCTCTTCCAGCTCTAAGCCCTATGATGCTGTGACAAGGGCATGCTACCTGCATGTGCAGCACTATTTCATTCATACTTGAGTTGCCCAAGGGAGCCACCCTCCTTCACAATGCTGAGGCCATGCCAACTCTAACCCTAATTTCACTTTTCAAAGTTCATAGGTTAGAGACTCCATTAACATGGTGGCCAGTGAACACCAACCTCGGCTCTAACCAGGCTGCATGAAGACAATGAATTCCAAAATGATCGCTACATCTGCCACTGCTGCCTTCTTATCTATGAAAACAAAGTCAGTTTAGCTTTTATGAAGTCATTCCGTGCTTACCAAGTCCAACTCTGAAAATAGACATGATATGCAAGTAAGACATTTGGGAATCAGTCACAAAAAAGTCTTTGGCTGCTTTCATCATTTGATTTTGAATGAAACCTTACCTGTGCCCATGTTCACAGAGAAGACCCCAATGATCAAACTAGGCTGATTTTGTCTGAGGGATCTTTGTGAATTCTTGGCAGATTCTTTGCTATGAACCATACATCAGCATGAAAGCTAAAACTAGCTTCACGATTGTCCACAGTCACCTTCACCATGAGCACTTCTAGCCAAGGTGACCATATGCCCTGTAAGTGTACAGCTCTTGAGCTTTGGAGCATCTGATGAAGCTGGCTCTACCAACTCCCTCACTGGCTACTCTGAGGAGTGCACATGTACACCTTGCTCCCACTTAGCTATTGCACAGACAGGCTTCTACTGATCCTAGTATCTCATTGGTTGCTGGCCAGAAGCCTCATCCAGAGGACCCCAAAAGCTACATATTGCTTACATATAGTTGAAGGACTCTGATTCCTAGCAAGGCCCTTTCCCTATCCCCCATCAGTACAAATATGGAAAGGGTGACCCAGCACAGGGTCATCTTGTGCTTTTGTTCATTACATAGGTCACAGAGGCCAAAAAAAGAAAAAAAAACAGAGTAAAAGAGAAAACAGATCCCAAAGAAGAAAAGAGAAATGGGACAGGAAGACATTGTGTGACACAATGCGGCTCTGACTCAACCTGCTTTAAAGAGCTTTTCATTAAAAAAAAAAATGGAAAACAGAGAAAAGGGAAGCCAAAGACTCTCATCAGTTCCCAGCTAAGTCTAACCAATACAGAACACTTTCCAAAGTGAGGAGGCCAGAAGAGCCCCAAAATTCCCTTAGCATTAAACCTTGGATCTCCCCAACAAGTGGAGGGACAGGGCCACTAAGGGCCACCTTGGGGAGGGGCACTGTCCAGGACTCTGCTGAAAGCCAGTCAGGTCTAAGGAGAACAGCAGAGGCAAGTGGGGCTTAAGAATAGCAAGAGAAGGATTCCCACTGGTTTCAGAAACAGCCACTGCAAGCAGCAGAGCTCATATGCCTAGAAGGGGCATTCATGTTTAGCATCAAAGTTAACTCCAGTGAGTCAACTTTCACAAACAATGTGTGACTGACCAGCTCTAAACTTAAGATCATAGGGCTTGAGGCCAAAGCTCAACCATGTGGTCATGGCTTTAACCATGTGGACTACTTAATCCTCATTTTCCTCATCTGTAAAATGTGGAAGGTGGTATCTGCATAACCTATAAGGATTACTGGGAGGAAAGAGCTTTGGAAGCCATAGGCTACTACAGGAAGGTAAATTATCTTGATGGGGAGCAATTCTCCATGACCACGCAGGGATTCAGAGGAATGGCCCAGGTGAGACAAATACCAGGTCACTGGAAGGAGTCATCCCCATCCCCTGAGCTCACACTGGCCTCCCTCCAGGATGAGTTGCAGTGGCTCACTGAGACCAGAAGGCATTAAGATGCCTCCTTTCTCCCCCGCCCCTTCCCTCACCTCCTGGTTGCCCATAAAAATTTATGACCATCATGTGTGCCTCTGGACATCTCATTGAGTCTTGGGTAGGAGCAGAGACTCAGAGCCTTATGGAAATGATTGAATCTCCAAGCTCTGAGAGCCCTCTGACACCTCCCCAAATCCTTTTTGCAGCCTCCCAAACAAGCAGTGACCCAGCCCCAGGCAAGGCCCTGCCTAACTCCTCAGCTGCCCAGTCCACTTTGGGGCCACCCTTTTTTAGAAGATGCATAGGTGGGGCTGAGTTCTAAAGAGATCAGAGAGTGGGACTTTCCCTCCGGCCAGGGCCAGTCTGTTGTGAGCACCTTGGGGGCATGGACTGTCTTTTGCCTTTCCTTATATCCTCTGTACTAAGTACTGTGCCTGGAACACTGTAGGTGCTAAAACATGCTTAGTACCTATTGACTGGCTTAGGTCACTTTTCTCAACCCAGCATTCTTCACTGGCAGAAGCCATATACAGGCTATATTCTCAGGATCCCCAGTGCACAGAAAACCAGAAAGAGCTGGCAGGGAGGATGCAGGGAGTGTCAGGCAGAGATAGACAGACACACACCGAGAATGTAGGCAGACCCAGAAAGGCCAAGTTATTACACAGAGACACAGAACAGATCCAACCATCCCATTTTCCCAAGGAATTGGACCAGGACCCTCCTTCAGTAGCTGGTAGTGTCCACAAGCCAAGTGCAGGCACTGATGACCCCTCTCTGTGTGCCCTGAGGTGCCTAGGAGCAGTGGCCTGACTGCCTTCTCCCTGCCCCCATATCCAGGTTTCCCCAGGAAAGTTACCAGCCTCCCATGAGGGTGTCTCCCACCTGAAGCCCAGCCACATCTCAGGAACCCTCCAGCAGGGTTCCTTCACAGCCACTAGTACAAGGGTTGCTGGGTCCAGCTTCTGGGTGCTGCCTCCTTCCCTCTCTACTCATCCCCCACAGACCAAAGGGAAACCCCTTGAGCAGAGCTTCTGGGGAGCATGAGCTGGGCAACTGAAGCCAGCCTGGAGGAGAGGGGTCTCTGAGATATGGCCAGCATGTTTGTCTGGGCAAGGGTGACTTGTGGAGTATGACAATCAATCCCATTCTGCAGAACTGAGCACCTGTGAGGGGACAACTCTTTCTGGATCTAGCAGCCCAAGCTGGTCATCATAGCTGCTCAGAGGCCCCAGCCCTTCCATACGACACCCCCCCCCAAAACAGGCTGGGCCTCAGTTTGTGACCTCATGTTCAAATTCCAGCTTTTGGCACACACAATTAGGGAGTGTCGCAGGAGCCTCCCAGAGTCCAGGAAAACTGCCTTCCTCGGTTGACCCCAGCAAGGCACCGGGGCTGTAAACCTATGGGCTTCTGAAAGCCACTGTATGTTTAAGTGTATGCGGGGTGTGTGTGTGTGTGTGTGTGTGTGTGCATGTGTGTGTTTTTGAGTACATTCTGTATGGGTGAGTGTATGTGTGAATGTCTGTGCGAGTGCATGTGTGAGGGAGAGTGTGTATATGTGTATGTGTGAGTGAGTGTATGAATATGTATGAGTGTGCATTTATAAGTGTGTAGGAGGTATGTAAGTATGTTGGTGAGTTTGCATGTATGTGTGAGTGTGCATATGTGAGGGAGAGTGTATATGTGTGTGTGAGCAAATGAACATGTGTGAGTGTATGTGTGCATGTGTGAGTGTGGTCATGTGTGCTTCTGCACACGAGTGTCAGACCAAAGGGAGAGAGGTGGTGCGGGAGCTGCATGCCAGGACTCCATCATCTGGGCATGTATTCTCTGGGCAGGCCGGTCCAGTTCCTCTCCCGCAGAGCCTGGTCCACAGTCCGGATGTAGCCATCGATGAGCGCCTTCATTTCGGCTGTGAAGGCTTGCTCGGGCTCTCTCGGCTGCCCACCGAGCCTCCGGAAGCTCCCTTCCCTGTTGCTCTCCACACACAGAAGCCTCTCCTCTGTTACTGACACGTTCAGGAAAGCCACCATCTCCCTCAGCTTGGGGAGGAGGCTGCGCCGCAGGTCCTCATAGTGGACAACCAAGAGCCGTTTGCCATACTTGAGCCAGTCCAGGACATGGGATGACCACCAGGATGCGTAGCTGTTGACAAAGTCAGGCCACTCTGGAGCAGGAGAGAGAACAGTAGAGTCAGGGAAAAGTCAAGGTCCCTTTCCTCCCCAGCCCCAGTCCCTCAGAGCCAACCAAGGACAATAACCCCCCCCCCCGAGCCCATGAGAGGCCCTTCAGCCCTCCCTGGGGAATGTCCATAGCCTGGCAGGCCTGGCACTGAGGGGAGCCTTGTGGACAGTGCGCGTGGTCTTTTGCTCTTGGGCAGGGCCCTCCAGGCAGAGGACTTGACTCCCACTCACATATGATGGCTGCGTAACCTCAGCAGTTCATGATCTCTGAGTTTGGGGGTCTTTGCAAAGGGGGAGAATGAATGAGTCTGCTCTTGCACCCAGCCAGATCAGGATCAAGGGGGACTGTTGTGCCAGGGCTTGATGGTGTCAGGCCTGGCTGCTGGGGGTGTTCCTGCTGTTAGGAGAGGCCCTGATGGGGACAGATTGGCCATGGCCCCTCTGGAGACAATGAGCCCCAGGGCTGCCCACTTTACAGCCCTCTCCCACACCTTGCCGGAGACTCCTGGATTGGGGTGGGGCTGTTCTGTGGGCAGCAGCCACACAGCATGTCCAGGTGCTTTTTGTTTCTTTTAAAAGAGGGAGACCCTTCATTTCACAGAGAAGTATGGGGTCACTCAGAGATAGCTAACATTTCCCAGATGCAATTCAGCCTGCTGTCTTCCTCCTGCTGCTCAGTTCTGGATTGTGTTCATTGCCCACATTCCATGTCTGCCCAAGATCTAGGTACCAATGAACCAGCTCAATGGGCTTATTATCAACCAAATGAAAGGAAGCTGAGGGTGAGTGAAGTGAGTGAAGACTGGCTGAAGAGAAGGCTGGAGGGGAGATCAAAGCTGTGGCTCATTCTGCTATGTTGAGGGCCAAAGCTGAAGAGTTTAATATGGGATAAGGAATTTAGGTTAGAGCTTGACTCTTTCCTTTCCTACCCATAAGGGCTTAATTATTCAGAATATGTGCCTGGAAGGTGTTAGAATATTCTGCCCCTTGAACCTTGATGAAAAGCAGGTGTGAACAATTAAGGATGCCATAAGGGCTGGGATTAGTCAGTAAGAATCATGGGAATGCCTCGGGGATGATTGTTAGCTTTCACTATATAACCAGGACCCTCAGAATAATAAATGGCTCAGTCTTTCACTGACCCACCTGGCACATTCCTCCGTTTGATGCAATATTTAGTCGAGGGAGACACTGCCAGGCTGATTGTCAAGAAGGACTTCCTGATATGCAGAGCCATTCCACAGTGGAAAAGGCTGCCTCAGGAGCCTTCCCTGCAGGTCCTCAAGCTAAGCTTGCAATGCTCCTGGTCAGCGATGCTGCCGAGGAGAAGGGGAGTGAGATGCTCCTGGAATCTCTTCCAGCTCCGGTCTGGGATTCTGGGCTGTGGTGAGGCCTTTGCTGGAAGCCCAGAATTCATGGAGCTGTGCAGCCAACCCTCCTGAAAGGATGTTCCTGTCTCTTAATGATGAAGGATTCCCCATGCATCTCTGCAAAGAATGGAGGGGTGTATAGGCTCCCACCTCTCCTCAGGAGCCAGGCTTTGGTCATTATAATATTACAGCTTCAGGCTTCATTTCAGGAGCTATTTCCATTTTCCTGGGTCTGCTTACTTCACTCTGCATCAGCTCATGTACCTCTCTGCAGTCCAGTGGAGTGGAATTAGGATTTTGGGTTAAGAGTCAGGACACCTGGGTTTCCCTTTGGGTTCTGCTACCAAATAAATACCTGACAAATCACCTGACGTCTCCAGGTTTCATTTTCCTTATCTGAAAAATGGGCATAATGTTACTTGTGGGGGCCATTGCCAGTTGTCTTGACCTATGTCTTGCCACTGGACTCCAATGACTCTATAGGAGAGAGTGTGGCTGATGACTTTGCAGAGCTCTAACTCACTTAAATCCAATTGACTTACAAGTCAAGACATCACCCTCCTGACGTCATTGGCCCTCTTTGAGAACAAAGGATTAATGACAATAATGTTACTTATAACATATTCTTTGCAGGGTTGTTGGAAGGAAAGTGCTTTTTAAGTGTTAAAAAAGTTTAAAAGAAAGATAGTGTTATTGCTGTCATTGTGAAAGAATGGATGGATGGATGGACGGATGGATGGATGGATGGATGGATGGATGGATGGATGGATAGATGGATGGAGGATTGGAGGGATGGATGAATGGATGGATGGATGGATGAGTAGATGGATGGATGGATGGATGGATGAATGGATGGATGGATAGATAGATGGATGGAGAATTGGAGGGATGGATGGATGGATGGATGGATGGATGGATGGATGGATGGATAGATAGATGGATGGAGAATTGGAGGGATGGATGGATGGATGGATGGATGGATGGATGGAGGATTGGAGGGAGGGATAGATGGATGGATAGATGGATGAGTGGATGGATGGATGGAGGATTAGAGGGATGGATGGATGGAGTATTGGAGGGATGGATGGATGGGTGGATGGATAGAGGAGCATTTAGTAAGTGCTTACTCTGCCCCAAGTGTGGTGGTAAATGCCAAAGATCATGACCCCAAGGGATTTGTATTCTAGTATTCTACTATAGTTTCTTTTGACTGATCTCTTCTCTCCTGTTTGTGCCAGTGAGCAGGTCCTGGTAGGTTTCACCAAGAGAATATCTAGAAACATGGATCAGAGCTCTAGACCTGGAAGGAATCTTAAAGGCACATTTTATTGATAAGAAAACTGGGGACCAGGAGGGAAAGAGACTGAGAATTATAGGATCCTACACCCAGAGCTGGAAGGGCCAGACATCCCCACCAACCGCCACTGACTGGACTGGCAACCAGCCCAGTGAAAGCAGGGGAGGTGGCGTATGTCAGGCAAGCTGAGCCACCACCACCACCACCTTGACAGCCATCTCTCCTCCACACCTTGATAAGGACAGCCCAGGACCTGGAGCCCCAAGAGCCTTGGGAAGAGCCAGGCTTCCAGGCTAGGACATGTAGCCATGGTCCTGGGAAGCAGCCCCTGTGGAGACATAACCTGGAAACTATCTGCTCCTGCAGAGGGCCCAGAAAAGAAAGTCCCTGGCATACAAATCCTCAGCCTATCCAATCAACATCAGAAACTGATACAATTTTAGCACTTTAATCAAGCATCAGAGAAGAAGCCTGACCATAGGCTTTCCTGCTGGCTGCTAAGGACCAGAGGACTTCCCCCCACTGACTTGTAGCTGAAATCCTCATGTCTTGTCTCCCTGAGGGTAGTAACTGCCTGCCTCTCTGTGTCCCAACACTTAGCAACATTTTACACATTAATGCTTAATAAATGACTTATTTGTTCATTCAGCAGTCCCAAATAACCTGAAACTACCTTCAAAGCAACAGCAAATCACAACAGGAATCTCATCTTTCCAGTCTGGCTTTACTTAGGGCACCACCAGTATCTCCCTTCTCCAGAGTGAGGCGTGACCTTCTGTTGCTCAGGGGGAGCAAGTTGGTTGTCAGGGCTCACTTTGCTGTGGACTCACAGCAGGGTTTTATTTTCTCCTTTACTTAATAAGACAATATTTGGGGAATTAGTTCAGTTCCACACTTTTGCTTTAAAATTTTCAGAGCTTAAATTCACTATTTTGGTTGTAGATTTCTTTGTCTTTCTAGTGGGACTTTCTAATCATTATTATTTTTGTTGGCTAACAGCTCAGACCATTCCCCAGCTTGATTAAAAGCAAACCCAGGAAGAAGTAAAAAGGTAGTCACTCTCATCCTCCCCTATCAACCTCTGAAAACCCAGAAAATAACACCCTAGAAAAAAAATACCTGGAACACCTGAACTAGAAGAAAGACAGGGAACAGCAGTGCAGCAGCCCAGCAAACCGGTCTCCCAGTGCCTTAGCACTACAAAGGGCCCCAGGCAGATAAGCATCCTGCAGCATTCATGTGAAAGGAGCTGAAGAAAACAACCTAAAGCCTCCCTAAAGTCTCAGCCTTGCTGACTCCAACCCAACACCAGGTAAGCTGTCAGAACCCTACAGCCTCCAACTGTCAAACAGGAGGAGATCCTGAAGCCCAGGTGGTAGAGCAGGCAAACACCAACACCTGGACCTCTAACTGCCTCAGTGAGGGTGGGGAAACCAGAGGAAACCAGCTCAGAAAACCACCAGGTGCCTCGGCACTCTACCACAAAGGAATCTCCCAGTGCATTAGCAGAAAGGAGGGAGGCAGCATTGAAAGGGGCCCCAGGCAGATAAACACCCTGCAGCACCCATCTAAAAGGAGCTGAAGAAAGCTAAAGGAAAGAAAAGTAGCAACTAGAATTGCCTGAAAGTTTCCAGCCTTGCTGATTCCAGCCCATCACCAGGTAAGCTGCCAAAACCCTTCAGCCTCCAATTGCCAACATAAGAGGCCCCAGCACATGAAGCCAGTGACCAAGACCTAGGCTCCCAACACAAGAAGCTTGGGTTAGTGCCCTCTGTTCCCCAGCAGGAGAGCTCAATCTCTTTAAAGCCAAACAGAATGAAAAACCATGAGTAGAAATGTTACCATAGATTCATATTATGAGAAGAGTGAAGATCAAGACAGAAATTCTGAAGAGGACATCATTGTCAACAAACCCACATCTTCAACATCAAAAGGGAATATGAACTGGTCTGAAGCCCAAAAAGCCTTCTTAGAGGAGCTCAAGAAGGATTTTAAAAGTCTAATGAGAGAGGTAGAAGAGTCCTTAAAAAATACAATTGGCCAATTGGAAAAAAAGTACACTGAAGAAAACAGGTCCCTAAAAAACACAATTGGCCAACTGGAAAAAAAAAAAAGTACACTGAAGAAAACAAATCCCTTAAAAATACAATTGGCCAATTGAAGAAGAAAGTACAAAAACTAACAGAAGAAAACAATCTGTTAAAAACTAGAATTGGACAAATGGAAACTAATGATTCTATGAGAGAGCAAGAATCAAACAGAAACAAAAAAATGAAAAAATGGATGAAAACATGAAATAATTCATCGGTAAAACAAC